CCTTGCATATCCTTAAGCCTCTGCACACTTGTGTTTCTCTGTTTTAGGGTTAGCTATCACTTGCTCTGGGAAACTACAGTTGACGGTTCAAGATGGAACCTTTTGCAAGGCATTGAAAGGATTTCATGTCCTGGCCCCAACTATCACCCATCACATGCAGGTCATGGAAGACAGGATACAAACTTCTGATCGCCCTCCCCCCCCCCTTCCATCCCCATTGTGCCCTGGGAAAAGAAAGGGAAATGCACTGACATATTCACGGGATGAAGGAACGTGTCCCCTGACCTGTATCACCACAGCTGTGGAGGACAGCGCCAATCCACTTCCAAGAACCATTGACGCTGGTCCTGGCATACCTACAACGAACCTCGCAAACAAACTCACAAAGCAGGTTGTCACAAGGACCTGTGAACACACAGCAGCAAACAACCAACAAGTACATTCAAACCGCACAGCAAACACTTATATGAGATGATGACCAGACAGAAATGCAGAATTTTGTGATCATTCTACATGAGCCGATAACGATGTGATATGAAGCATGCCATACAGTCCCACAACACTATCCCTCCATCTGGAACGGCCCACTTGCACGCTATGAAAGGACCCAGAGTGAAGGGGGATGTATACTCCTGTTCATTTTCCTGAAATTTTCATATCTTGAGCCTTTTTTTTTTGTTTCCCATCCCTGTGCAGGGGACATGCTAATCCTCTCCGTATCGTTCCAACTTTAACAGATGTCCCAAAGAACCAGATCTTCAGCTTATATTTCGTCTGTTCTCTTTATGATGCTCATTCGTATGCATTGAGTTGCGCAATATACAAAGAGGGAGGGAGGAAAGGAGTAGGCGGTGGGGTTCCACAAGAAACGAGGGAGAAGGGGAAGAGGAGAGAAGTGGAGGGACTAGGAATAGAACAGAGGTAAGACAAACTTCACAGGCTTCCCAATACTCACAGCTGGAGCAGACAACTACAAAATGGCACACGAGGCCTGTCACTGTTTGGGTTGCAGGGAAATTTGAGTCGAGGAGCAGCTGCAGCCTATGGTAAGTCGCCACCCCTACAGACTGGACTGGACCGGTTTGGGTGTGTACTGTCGAAGCACCACATCCAATTCTCACAGTTGCAGTTGCTCCATCGGATGGCACGACGTAGACAGATGTCACAGGCTACATGGCTCCTACAAGCTAGGAACACAGATGCACGCCGGCCGCGATTGTATAGGCATTGCCGTTCCATCCCGTCTACAAACTGGACAAGACACGTCAGGTTGCCATACGTGAGTGCAATGCTGACAAGTTGACAGTCATCATATCATTCAAATGTATGAAAGTAAAAACTTGTGTGGGCTATACTTTCATAATCCTCACATGGTATCCGAATCACATGCTAGCTGAATGTGAGGACCATCACAGAGCAGCATTGAGTGAGTTTCGTGGGTTTCCACAGCCAATGCTCCCTCTCTGTGGGCAGGCGATAATGGGGCCTGATCCACAGTAAGGGTGTTTAGCGGTTGCAAGATCTGGTCTGCAACAGCTCACCCTGGCGGCAATAACCTTCCATTGCAGCGCACTGTAGGTCGTTCGTGTGAGAGCCTATTTTCCACCTCAGGCTCCCGTGTCTGTTGTTCGTCTGGCAAGGATGATGGAAATCTTACTACTCATGCAGCACGTGTATGCCCAACGCTGCATGTGGGACATGCTAGGAGATGAGGTGGCAGGTGATGGCATCAGGGGCAGTCCACGCAGTAGAGACACATACTGGCATGCCAGCAGAAAAGCATGTGTGGAAGTGGAGGAGGAGGAGCAGCAGAAGAAGAGGAAGAAGAAGAAGAAGAGCCCAATTTTTCATTTTTTATTTTTTTCGTGGGATCCGTCTGCACTCGCTGAGATCTGCCGGAGTCCACAATGAAACTTCTGAAGGTAAAACTTTTTTTTTTTTTTTTTTTTTTTTGGGGGGGG